TCAGTGAAACCGCTTGTTGGTGACTATCCTATCTCCTTCACTGGGTGGGCAGCAGCCTCTGGCGGGTCGGGGAGGTGTGAGGTGTTGACAGCCTCTCTGTGGAGGCAGATGACGTCAGTGACGACTGCAGGTGGACAGTCTTGTGGAAAAGCTTGTTGCTGATCAGCACGACCAGGGAGAAGAGACGCAGTTGGAAGTGGCTGGAAGAGTGAAATCGACATCAGTCACTTGTGAAATAGATCCTTTTATTTATTGTTCTTACAGTGTGTTTGTTGGACACTCACTACAGCTTGGTTGGTGTCTTTGCCTCATTAGCACTGATGATGAACAGAGGGAAAAGGATGGAGAACAAGCAACCGCTGCATAGGAAACAAAGATAACATTTAAAAACCATTAAAAACAGAGCAGAAGATTCCAGATTCATTATATTTATTTATAACTAATTACTCCATTGTAATATATTGTAATTATAAACAGTGGAGTTCCTCTCCTTCTCAAAGTGAAGGGGATGAGCAGACTGTTTCCTGAGGAAGCTCAGGAAGCTTTAATGAATGCAGCAGGATGGTGGAGATCTTCTACCAGCCTGTGGTAGCGAGTGCATCTGTTTTGCTGTTATATGCTGGGAAGGAGGGTCAGCAACAGATCCAGAGATGCTGGAACCATCACTGGCCAGAATCTGGAGGCGTCTGAGTCAGTGAGGTTTAGGAGGTCACCGAACAAACTGCTCTCCATCATGGACAGCCCATCTCTACTGCGCACTTCTGAGGCAGCACAGCTCCATCTCCCTCAGAATAATTCAACAGCGTTGCCATAAAGAACACTTCAGGAAATCATTCCTATCATTATCTATAAAACTGTACAGTAACTCCTCCCTGTTACGTGTGAACACACCTGCCAGGCATCAGTGTGGACTCTGATGTTTGCTATTTGTCATTGCCATACCCTGATGGAGATGAGACAGCATAAAGGGTGGAGGTAGAAAACTTGTCCCGATGGTGCTCAAGAAATAACCCGAAGCTGAACGTCCTTAAAACATAAGAACTCATAATGAACTTCAGGAGACACAGACAGGTCCACCTCTCATTATAAACGCAGAACAGGTGGAATCTTCTCCACCTTCAGTTTTCTGGGCACGCCACATCTCCGCTGATCTGGACCCACAACACCAACGCGCTGGTAAAGCAGGCCCAACAGCAGCTGCACTTCCTCCTGTCCTGAGGAAGAATAACCTGGACCAGAAGCTGCTGCTGGCCTTCTACTGCTCCTCAGTGGAGAGCGTGCTCTCCTACCGCCTGGGTGTTTGGTACACAGGGGACAATAACGAGAAGAGGACGGCTGTACTGAGGGTAATTAACACTGCCCTAAAAATCATTGGCTGCCCTCAGCCACCCCTGGAGGCCATC